AAAGAGACACACGGAGCTAGCGTATAATAATCATTCATAAACATCGCTGCCTCTCGGTTCCAGTTCTCGCCTGATTGTTCCGCTCGGCTTGGCCGGGACGGCGATCCTCGATGACCTCCTCCTTCTCCGAGCAGCCTAATCACTCGTGACACGTTGTTCCTCTCCTACACGTTCAACTTCCGTTCACCGTGTCTCGGGTTCCTTCGTCTCTAACACCACACCCTGTGTCCTCCGACGACTACGTCGGGAGCGTCATCGTCGTTCGTCATCTTCGAGTCGCGCGTGTCCGACGCGCGATCATCGCGACACGTCCCCTACTCGGCGAGCGGGACGGCGGGTTCCTCCGACGAAAGGGAGCGCCGCGCGCCGCCGGTAGGATTTTATGCTCGTGTCGTTTGGTCCTCGACTCTCTGATAAGGAAACGAAAAACCGGCTGCATAAAGGGAGGAGGGGGGCAAAGGAGAAACACGCACGTCGGAGATGCTCCGTGTCGGTTCTCCGGCGCACCCCCTCTTCCTGCCTGCGCGACCGTTTCGCGTCCAGCAGCGACCAGCGTCCGGTTCCTTCGTTTGTTTTTCTCAGTTTTCCTGCTATTTCTCGGCGGATGGTCTCCGAAACGGGGGGGAGGGAGAGCAGCGGCAGCAGCTCTCTGATGATTAGGAGGTGGTTTTCTCGTGTGTCCTGTGTTTCGGTACGTTTCTGTTTTGCCCTTGTGTGTGTGTGCATAAGTGTCTGTGTTCCGGAGTGTGTGTGTATGAGTGGTATACGGTTTAGGTGACGGTAGTCGATACGCTTCACGTTCACCGGATAGGCCCGATAATTCTCCTCCCACACCCCCCGTTTCAATACGGCCAGAACGTAGGCAGCGGTGGCGGCGGCGGCGGCGGCTGCACGGTCGGATAAAGAGTCGGGGTGGCGATCAGGACGCAGGCGGGCGGCAAAGGCGGCGGCACGGGCGGCGGCAAAACCGGGGATAGTGTAATCGCTGCGGCTGGGTGCAGGGCCGTGCCCGTCGGGGCACACAACGGGTGCAGGGCGAGAGAGGGACGCTGGCGCTGACGCTGACGCTGCTGGCCCTGGACCTCGCCGTTCTATTCCGAGTCCTGCTGCATTTTGACGTGGCCATTACCGGCGGAATTGCTCGCTGTGCTGCCGCTGCTCGGCGGGAAACTGGTGGGTATGGTGCGCGACGACGAGAAGCACAGCTTCATGATGTACGGGAACTTGCCGTCTGGAACAGAGGTGTCGCGGACACGTCAAATCACACGGCCGATCGTGCTCGAGTCGGTTGCGCGGCTAACTTTTCGGAATGCTCGCTAACTCTGCTCTGTTCGTTGGCTCTGTATCTACGTTCGCCAGTTTTCTTACTGCCGTTACGTTTCTCTCGTTCTTCTCGTTTCGTTATGTTACTGGCTCTTTTAGAATAATATAGAATTTCGAATAAGATTGTTAGTAATGAAAGGGTTACTGTCTCGATAAGTTTCAAACGTGTAGAGAAGCTATGGGCCGCGGTAAATGTCTAATACGAATTCACGAATTCTTCTTTCATTTTTAACAGAATGTTCGTTTAAATAGAGTAAATGCCGCGCGGATTTCACGCGTCCCGAATGTCCATAAAAAGACTAGTTCAGCCGCGTATCGTAGTTGACATTTAGAAGAGCCGGGGTAAAGTTATTCTCAACAAGGATCACTGATACCGAGGCAGCAGTAAACCCGTTAAACGGCGGCCGGATAGCGTAGGCAACAGGGGGATGGGAAAATGTTAAGTGACATCTGCAATTAAACAGTACTCACTGCTGTTTTCCAGTGCTGTGTGATTGCATTCCATGATGGCGGCGACCGCGACCCCGACGCTGCTAAACTCTATGAGGCCGGACGACGATCGTTCCGACTTGAGGGGGAACAATTTCACTGTCGTCGGCGCCTCGATGCCGCGTTCGACGAACACACGGTGCACCGTCTCCTCGGTTAGATCCGGGGGAGTGTTGAAAAAGTGGACTATCTTCGATGGTGGCTGTATTCTATTCTTGTTAGCCATCGCCGGGTTTAGGAACCTGCAATTAACAAACACACCCACGGCTCAGGAAAACCTCTTCCATCCCTTCCGCTCCCCGGAGCGTGAAACCCTCCCGTTCGTTCGGCCGTCGTGTAAACAATTAAAATATTCCGGCATAGGGTACTTTAAAATGCAAAGAAGTATTTAAAGAAGAATCCGGAAGGAGCACGCAAAGTACTTCCCACGGAGTGGCTCATTAAAATACATCAGCCTCAACATCCATCCGAAACGGTATATTAAACAGGCCGCTCATTTTTCAGTTACGATATTCAGATCTCCATCGTTCGTCTCTCTCGCGAATTTCTAAAATCAATGAACCGGCCCGAAGCGGGGGATCACCGCGTAACATCCCCTAACGCTGCCGATTTCAATCGGAGCCTGTCCCGACACACATGCAGCTTCTATGGTCCGGTAATTAATTCCTCGCAATCAGCGGGCGAGCTGGACGGAGCGGGAACATTCAAAAACCCGGACGCAATTAAGTTTTCATCGAGTAAATATTGCCGGGCGTGCTACTCGAAGTCTCAGGAAGGAAGGCCGCCATTAATTGCCGCGGGATCGGGGCTGCCGGGTGTCCCGTGCAGAAATTTCGGCCCGATGGAAAACGCGAGTTTCTCGTTAACGCTCATTCAGACACGCGGAGACGCGTCCCGACTGATTAGAATGGGGATGGCCGCGCGATGGATCGATAACACGGGGAACGTTCGAGGGAAACACCTGGCTGAACGTGTCCTTCCGATGAGATTCACCCCGGGGATGGATCGGGAAGCGGTCGGGGGCGGCGGTGCACGCGAAGGGACGTGAAACGAGGTCGACAACTAGACGAACAAAGAACATTTGCCGGGGAAAAAGTGGCTGATCCGGAAATAGAAGAAAGAAATGGATCGCGGCGGCGGCGGCGGTGTGAAAATGGGGCCGGAATATTCTAGCAGACAGCGCAAACTTTTTTTACCTGTTATTCTTGCTTCCCGTGAAATCCTTGAAGCTCGCCGTCTTGTCGGGCAGAATGTAAGGGTTGGTGACGTCCGAGAGGAAAGCCTGTTTCGAGAAACCCAGCTGCAGCCTGCCGTCTGTGCCGATCGTCACGTTGTTCAGATTCTGTAAACACCGCTCCACGGCTATGCTGTCGCCCATTTGGATCATCGCGCAACCCTCTTTCGTCTTCAAGAACTTGACCTGCGACACGAACGTTGCGGGGCGGTTGTATATAGGGGATCGAAGCGAGCTTCGAGCGTCTACCGGGGTTTTGGGCGAAGTTTCTTCTTGAACTTTCTCGGAATAAGTATTTTCGATAAATCCTATGACATAGAGATTCTTAACCCTTTGAACTCTGTCGGCTACAATATCGCGCCAGTTGTAATATTAAATATTTTAATGAATCTTAAAGAACATAAACACACCCAAATTTTCTAATTGTATCGTTAAACGGAAGTTTTAATAATAGAAACGCTCTTTGAACGTTTAATCCTTTGAACTCTGTAGGCTCCAATATTGCATCAGTTATAATATTGAATATTTTAATGAATCTTAAAGAAACTACCCCAAAATTATTAGATTTTCCACACATCCAAATTTTCTACTAAGAAGGAAAATAAAAGATCAAAGAAATGTTATAGCTAGGAATACTATAAAAATTAGTTGCAATTGCTGATAGATTACAAAACAACCTGGAGTGCTAACGGTTAACCCTTTGCGGACGAATGTCGGCATTTCGGCAAGATGAAATTTTCCTATTTGGAAGACTAAGTTGCAGACAAATTCAATTAATTTAATTACTTGAACAGCAAGAGATCAACACGTAGTTTCCCTTTTTCTCTAATTGCTGAAGCAGTTGAAATAATTCAGCTTCATCGGCTGAAGGTTTGGTATATTTCAAAGATTCTTCGTCCGCGAAGGGTAAACATCGCAATAATACAAGGAATCAAGCTACCAAGTAGAGCTGTCGAAGCTTCGCGGCGGTAGGGAGGGGAGGGGGATCTTGAACAGGTAGACGCTCTTCTGAACTCTAGCCAGACGGTATCATATACCTTCGTCACGTTTCCGTACAGGCAGAACAGGTTGAAGAGCTTGTCGGTGTTTACTTTATCCGGCTGCAGGCCGTACACCATCATCACGGAACCCTGCGTGCTTGAAGGTGGAGTCTGTCCTAGGGTGGGTACGTAACCGGGCCGCGGTGGCGTGGGGTGTAGTGGCTCTCGACCGCTAAAATCACTCTTAATACCATAACGCTCGACGTACGGCTCCGCATACGTCGCTGGTCCATTGAAATTCTCCTCGTAACGATCGTGACCAGTACCCGGGGCGAAAGTTACCTGTGGCGTGGATCCTGCAACAACGGTTAGGGCAAAGGATATTCGATGATTTTCTTTCGTCGTGCTGATTTCCGTCGGATACGGCTGTCGGCCGCGATCCCATTCGCCGCTAATTATGGAAATCGAGCGAGCCTTGCGTCGAAACTTGTTGTATCATTACTAATGCTAAGCTAGCAAAAGCAAAAATGCGAACATCTTGATTAACCGATCTAAACCCGTCGATTTTCGATTCTCTAAATTCGATGATACCAAACGGTCATCCTTCATCTTGACTCAGCTATTCGGTATTCGATTAACGCGAATTAGACAACCTTTAACTCAACAAAACGAACTGGAAATAAATCACACGCGAAACGCTGCCGTATAGTATATAAAAATGATCTTCAAGGTTATCTGAAGGTCACTCGTGTTTTTCATTGTTGAATCATTACTAATGCTAAGTTAGCAAACGCAAAAATGCCCAACGTTCGTGCATCTTTAGTCCGAATAAAGTCGACAGAAAGTCAACCAGATGTGTCTTTTGTCACGCGAAGTCAGGAGACTTCTCTCCAGGCAAGGCCGCGAACGGTCTTGCAAAGAAAAGCGGACACCAACTGACTTTCGGACGTTCCGAGTCATTCGCATTCTAGAACTGGAAAGAGACAGACATGTTTTCCAAAGCCGTTTCAATAAACGCTGTAAAATATATGCTGCTTCATTAATTAATTCATTACCCATTTCCAATCAAATCACTCCCGACGCTGTTCGTCGCTTACGCCGGATTCCCGGGCAACGATCGATTTCATTGCGCCGGGAAAATATTTGTAGGATGATTATTATGTTCGCTGTTGTAGGATCATCGAATAAGGAAAACGCCGAGTGGCGAATTAAAACGGTCCTATTAACTGGCGAACGGAGATTTGTAAATGAAAAAGGGCGGAGTAATGATAGAAGGCGGCGAGACGATTAATCTTCGTTAGCTTGTAATTAATAACGTGGTAATATATACTCGTATATCAAAGCGGAACAATTCGAGTAATTAACGACTCCGCGGGTTTCATTATGGAGTTATAAAATGATTTTATCCAGCGCGATTAATCACGGAACGAAGTTTCGTAGTTTCGATCGACAGTGTGTACCCGAAGATCCATGGGAGTGTACTCTTCTTTCGGAGTTAGTTTTTACGAGGTCAAACGGTCGCCGGGGTATTCTTAACCAGTTAACTGTGCTTGACGGGTATACACGTCATCGTAAAGCTTGTCGTGATACTAATTCTCTCAGCGATGAGTTCTTTATTTTTCCACATAAACATGTAGTTCTTCTTTGTTTCGCTTTGATCTTTCATTAAAATATACTCTACATGCATTCGTCCTTCGACGAGTACACGCTCCGTTTTTCGATTTTATTGCGCGCGGAACGAGAGGTTTTTCCAACTAAATTCCACAGTTAATTGGTTAACGACACTTATAAATTAACCCTTTGCACTCGAGAGTTTCTCGCTACAAATATTTAACATTTTTTGACGAAGACGATATTCTTTGAAATTAACCCATTCGCTGCCAAGCCTATATTATATGAAGCTACTCCCATTGCCATTTATATTTTGAGTGGTATTGTTCACCAAAGTTCTGTCATTTCTTGGTAAAAGCACGTATATTATCATACATAGTCATTTACATGTATAAAATCAATGACGAGCATACTCGTCGTTGGCAATGGGAAGGCAACAGGTCTCGACTCGAAATTTGCTTATTCAAAGACGAGTATACTCGTCCTTGGCAGCGAATGGGTTAACTCGAAGGGAAATCACAAGTATATCAACCCTCTATAGGCTCATGTAACTTTGAAGTCACGTGTCAGTATAGTGGCATCTTGTTGATTTATTTCATTTTGCATTCGAAGTGGTGAATAAAATGAAGTAATCGGTTAACTGCAACGTTTATACGCTCAGGCGTGAAATTTTAACGTCATTGTAACTTGAAAGTTACGAAATATATTCGTCTGATGAAATTATTGAAACTATTGAATATATTGTTAATCCATATTCATATGTGGATATTTATTAATTTTGTACTACATAGATTTTGTTAGAATCGTGAACAAAAATTCGGCCCATAGAGGGTTAAGGAACAAAGCTGTTTTATTCCAATGTTTCACGTACCGAGGCATCATACAAAGTTCAACATTAAATATCAGATTCTATAGTTTTACAGCTTCAAATCAAGCGATGACTTAGAGTCACCTCTCGAGTGCAAAGGGTCAAGTCATAGTGAAAAGAAGGCGTAATAATAGATCTATCAATGTGATCTCTAGAGTAACGACTTCAGGGATTAATACGTCATCGTCGTGGCGGAACTCGGCTCGATACGGAGTCGATTACTGTTCGCCGTCAACCGGGCAACGATCGATCAAGAATCGTTTGCCGCAGGGGGCAACGTATCGGCCGCCATTCTTTAAGTCGACGTCGCGAGCAACGGGATTGGGTTTCGTTTGCAGTTACAGTTCCGGCAGTTCGAACGCGACATAACTCCGCTACAATTACGCCATTGATTTCCTGTCGAAATTCCTTTGGTCTCGCTACCCCCTCGCAATGATTCACCCTAACAACTTCCGATCGCCGCGCAACCGAAACTGCAGCCCTTGCGTCATTGGATTTGTCGGTTACGAAATAGTAACTATGAACTGCAACGTTTCATTCGGCACATCGTCGATCGGCAGTTTTACGCAGAATGCTACGTCACCGGTTATTATTCCGTAATTAAATACGAAAGTGAAGCAATCTGAATAAGCTTCGATGTATCTTTATCGTATATGATGAATTGAAACGAAACTTCGAGCGTATCTTAACACGCTGAGCGCCGGCCCCGCGATAATGCAGGATTTTTATTTTATTTTTCTATCATTTAATTGCTAATCCTACGTTCACGTAACATTTTAGATATGTACACAAATCCAAAGTAAAATTTACAAAATCGAATTCCTTACTCTCTTCCGTAAGTTAGAAATTTTGGTTTAATCGATGATTAAAAATGTATCAATATAATCACCGACGCTCGTGTTTCAGTAGCTGAAATTTAGCCGGCGTTCGATGTGTTGAAACGTTGAATGCCGCACGATTTCATGGTACAGAATACTTGAAATGGAACAAATATAATATTAAATCATTCGATTGAATTGCATTGTTATTCTTGCAGGCTCATCTAGCTGAATGTCACCGCATTAGTTAGCATTATTTGTAATATAGAAATGTTTTCAAATAATCATGGTTTAATTGAGTGATCTATAGTAATTCGATTTGGTTAAATAAATTTCAATGTTTCGCTTCTGCAATATTCTACACTGCCCTGCACTTCGAAAATTGAAATAGCCAATGCTAGTGGGAACACGAGTTAACGACCGGTCAACAATGTTAACACGTTCTCTGGCAACGTTACGCATCTGCGAAAAAGTTGGAAGATCCATGATTAGTATGTTGCATTTTTGGTGAGACTGTAAACAAATTGCCAGTAGCAAGTACGTTAAACTGCTACGTTGTTAAATTTCAATTACTACGTAATTATCGAACGGTTCAATTTACGAAACAATTTGTGGCGAACTGATGATGTAGTGATTAAATGTATACCGTTTCAATTAGGGAACGGTGGCGGCGATTAATAAACATTTTAATTTGCCTGGGAATTTTGGAGTGTACAGGTGATGCAGCGACGGAATGCACTGTACGATTTGATATGCCGTTGACGTAGAATGTTCGAATATTCTTGGGAATCACGGACGATTGATTAGGCGGCGAAATTACAGTTCGCAAAGTTCCTCGATGATCGAGGAATTACCCGGTCCCTGATTTCACGAGTGCCCGAAAGAGGGAAAAAATTTGTAATCGTTGCGATCGGACAACCCACCTACTCAACCAATTGGTCCGCTTAATTTCACTATCAAAGGGAGAAACGGCGAGGGTGGAACTGGGGGCGAACTTACCGTATGGCTGGGGCGCGGCGCCGTATCTGGGTTCCGCCAAAAGGGGAGCCGGCCTTCCATTTCCGGTCGCGTCATTTTTGTGTGCACTCGATCCTGCAACATTAGAAACGTGCGTTTCGTTTATTTCCAGCGTAAATCAGAGTTTCTATTTTTCAAATAGGAAATTAAATCGAGTAGCGAATCGATATTTCTGCTTTCCAAATGGTAGATTGAGTTCAGTAGTAAATCGATACTTGTACTTTCTAAATAGTCAATTAAATTAAGTAGTGGGTCGATGTTTCTATTTTACGAATAGTAAATTAAATTAAGTAGTGAATTAATATTTCTGTTTTCCAAATGGTAAATTGAGTTAAATAGTAAATCGATACTTGTATTTTATAAATAGTCAATTAAATTAAGTAGTGGGCCGATATTTGTATTTTACGAATAGTAAATTAATTGAGTATTAGATTAGTATTTCTATTCTCCAAATGGTAAATTAAGTTCAGTAGTAAATCGATATTTCTATTTTCTAAATGGTAAATTAAATTAAGTAGTAAATTAATATTTCTGTTTTCCAAATAGTAAATGAAATTAAATAGTAAATCGATACTTGCATTTTCCAAATGGTAAATTAAATCGAGTAGTGAATGGACATTTCTATTTTCTAAACGATAAATTAGATTAAGTAGAAAATCGATATTTCTATTTTCCAAATATTAAATTAGATTAAGTAGAAAATCGATATTTCTATTTTTCAAATATTAAATTAAATTAATCGATATTTCTACAAAATGCACAGGTTAATACTAAAAATTGCAACATCAAGGAAAACTGAATTGAATCATCTCCTTTATTCGTCATGAAGTTAGTGTATCGGTGAGGTGAAGTACAATTCGAATGATTACAATTCTCAGCTTATTCGCTAGATCATCGATCAACCGAGAACTTCTTAACAGATAAATATGATCGAAGATGAATTGATAATACAAAGGAGTTCGATGTGATTCATGTTAA